TTAAGACTTGTTTTTGTGTCCAAACATATGATCTATCTTGAAGAATGTTCCATGTGCAGTTGAGAAGAATGTATATTCTGTTGCTTCCCCCCACACACATTATTACTGATGATATTCTCTGTGTTGTACTTCTTTTATTTCTGTGACTTATAACTGGAAGTTTGTGAGTCTTAATCCTTTTCATCTGCTTCACTCATCTCCCACCCACTTCCCCTCTAGCAGCCACAAGTTTGTTTTAAGGGTGTTTTGTTGCAAGTGATTGTTGCCTAGGCTAGGGGAGGACAGGAAAATGGTGCCCACCAGCATATTTGTTCCTGAGAAATCTCCTAAAGATCCCTGCCCCTAGAGCACAAGTTTTCTAAGATTAGTCAAGAAATCTCCTTTACATACACGCCAGGTGCTTTTCAATTACTGTTTCTGTGCTGTGTCTCAGGCCAGTTTATCTGGCCATCTCTTTCTGGGTGGGGACTTTCTTTCCTATTTCCATCTGGTTCTCCCAGAATTTAGCCCTACTGATTTTCAAAGCCAGACATTGTGGGGACTTGTCTTCCTAGTGCAAATCCTCAGGGCTGGGGCTACCCATTGTGGGATCTGATCCCCTCACTCCTCTGTGCTTGTGATGTCTCTCTGATTTGTGGTTATTTGCTCCAGGGTTTTGCTTTTCAACTGCATCTCTCTCCCTCCTACCCTTATCCCATGTGCCCTTTTCTCTGTGAGGAGTTGTGGAAGATCTGTTCTGCTAGCCTGCAAGTAATTTTCAGTTAGTTATATAGATGTAGTTATTGCTTTGGTATAGCTGTGGAATGAGGTGAGCTCAGGAACCTCCTACTAGTAGTGCCATCCTTTCCATCTCCCTTGTTGCTTTCTGATGGATGTAAGTAACACTGAACCAGATGGAATGTTCTGTATATGTTAAGGCCTAGGTTTCCTTGTTGATTTTCTGTCTGGATGATTAATGTAAATGGGATATTAAAGTCCCCAAGTATTGTACTATTTCTCCTTTAGGTCTATTAATATTTGCTTTACATATTTAGGTGCTTCTATGGTGGGTGCACACTTCTTTACAAATGTTCTGTCCTTTTGCTGGATTGACCCCTTGATGTAATGCCCTTCTTTGTCTCTTATTACAGTCTTTGTTTTAAAGCTTATTTTGTATATGCGGATCTGCAATTAGTTGTTATAGGCGGTATATAGATGGGTCTTATTTTGTTGGTGTCGTTTAATGAAGCCACTTATATCTTTTGACTGAAGAATTTAGTATTTGTATCTAAAAATTGTTTTCTGGCAGTTTGGCAGTTTCTTCGTTCCTTCTGTGGCTCTCTTCGTTATTTGATGACTTTCTTTGGTGGTATGCTTACAGTTCGTATCTCTTGTATATCTACTTATAGTTTTTGCTAGGTTGTTACTGAAAAGCTTACATATGACAATTTATATCTGCAACAGTCTACTGTAAGTTGATGAGCTTGAAAGTGTTCTAAAGCTCTACATTTTTACTTTCTCTCCTCCATTTTGTTTTTTCATTTCACATTTACATCTTTTTTTAGCCTATGTATCCTTTAGTTACTAATAATTACTAATTACTAACAACTACTAATAACTACTAACTAGTAGTTAATTTTACTTTTGTCTTTTAACCTTCATACTGGCTTTATAGGTAATTAATCTACCTTTCCTATATATTTATCAGATTTATATCTTTTATATGTTGTCACAAATTAGCACCCTTTCTATTCAGCCTGAAGAAGTCCCTTCAACATTTCTTGTAAGGCTGGTTGAGTGGTGATTAACTCATTTACCTTTTACTTGTCTTGGACACTCTTTCACTTCCAAGTGATCATTTTGCCATGTACTCTTGGAAGTTTTTTGTGTTTTTTTTTTTCCTTTTAGCACTTTAAATATATCACGTTTCTCACTTCAGGCCTGGAAAGTTTCTGCTGAAAAGTCTGCTGATAGTGTAGTTGGAGGTTCCCTTGTACATAAGAAGTTGTTTTTCTCTTGGTGCTTCTAAGTCTCTCCTTGTGTTTTACTTTGACATTTTAATTATAGTGTGTCTCTTTGGGTTCACCTTATTTGCAACTCTCTGGGCTTCTTGGATGTCTCTTTCTTCCCCAGGTTAGAGAAGTTTTCAGCCATTATTTTTTCAAGTAAGTTTTCTGTCCTTGTCTTGTCCTTCTGGGTTTCCTATAAATGAGAATGTTAGCCACTTGATGTGGTCTCTTAGGTCCCTTAAACTACCTCCACTTTTTATTTTTCTCTTTGCTGCTCTAATGGGGTGAGTTCCTCTGCCCTATCTTTGGGTTCACTGATCCATTCTTCTGCTTCTGCTAGTCTGCTGTTGAAACCCTCTGGTGTTATTTTCAGTTCAGTTATTGTGTTCTTCAGTTCTGTGACTTCTCCTTGATACTGAGATTTTTCTCTTTGTTGAAGCTCTGTGTTCATCCCTTCTTCACCCAGTTTGGTGAACCTCTTGAGGAACATTACTTTGAACTCTCTCAGGTAAATTACTTACCTCTGTTTCTGTAAGGCTCTTTCTGAAGTTTTCTCTTGGTCTTTTATTTGGAGCATATTCTTCATTTTGCTGGACTCTTCTTCGTGTTTCTACAAGCAGCCTATGTTTACTTTAATAGTTCCCAGCAGCTGAGGATGTGCCAAGCCCACTCAGTGTCCTCAAAGGGAAGATCTCAGCACCTAGATTCAGGCTGATTGGAAGCCAGACCTTTATCCACCACCTTTAAGAAATAGAAATATCTGTGTATACATATTAGTCCTGTGGGACCACAAGCATAAGCTCTCCTGGCCAACAGAACAGATGATCTTGAGGTATCCCCTGGGAGGCAGTCACAAAAATCAGGCTGTCTTTGTGCATTCATTACCTAATTAACCTTCGTCATCATCACTCCTGAACCCTATAGAGTTAGGCTTAAAAATAAATACCCAGCCATGTCACTAAGTAAAAATGCAAACTGTAAATCAGCATCTAGGATGTGACACCAGTAACAAATCTGTGTGTATGCACATACACACTTTATTTTTCCATGGGTATGTATATATATATGTATAGAAACAGGCCCAGAAGGAGGTCTTCCAAACTGGCAAGAGTGGTTACCTTTGAGGAGCAACTATCTGGTCAGGGGGCATTTTCACCTGATCTCCCTGGGCTTTTTTTGTTGTTGTTTACAGTGAAAAATATATTATTTCTTTTTAACTTTTACAATTCACTTAAAGGAAAAAAGTTTATTGAAGTTGAACTAGCAAATGACAGTAAAATTTCCTAAAATGGGCAATGGATAGAAAATGTAGAAACTTAGGGAAATCCATAAATGGGCAAAGCCCCATAGCAGGTTTCTTGGAAATCATACAGCACCTCTCTCTCTCTCACACACACACACCCTCTGTGTGGACTTTATCTTACCTGGTAACTCTTACCAGAGCAGCTACTGTCCAGGATTTTCTATCAGTGTTAGAAAATCCATCCTTTCAAATGTGCAGTTCTAGAACAAAAATGACTTAAAATTGTATGTTCCAAAGTATTTCTTTAACCTCCCACTTGGAAGTTTGAAGTAGCTCAGTTTTTTGCCATTTCTCCATAACCCAAAGCAACATTCATAAGGCAGATGAAGGAGGCACAAACCAAAGCCTTGCCTGCAAACACACATCCTCGCAGGGAGTCAGAGAATAAGGACCCCGGCTACTGGTCAAATATGCTGGAGCCCTCAGGTGTGCGGGGAAGTTCAGAAGCTAAAGCCATTCACTTCCAAGTCCAGTTTTGTAAGACATATTATTTATCTCCCCCTCCCCATCCCACCCTCCCCCCCTAAAAATTTTTTGTGGTTTCTTGGCTGGCTACTTTGGTATATATACTAGTAAGGATATGGATGGAATGGAGCCAGAATTCTAGGTTCAAATCCCAACTTCTCCATTTTCTAGTAGTGTGACCTTGGGCAAATTTGTAAACTTCTCTTGCCCTTATGCTTCCCATCTGTGAAATGGGGATCTCCCTTGTAGGCTTGCTGTAGTGATAAATCAACTAGGACACCATAGCCCTCTGTAGAGTGTCTGGAATACAGGAAAGCCTTTAAATGAAATTAGTGTTATTTGAATTAAGGTTCCAGCTTTAATAACTTAAATGATTAGTCAAGATAACCTAACTGGTGACTGTGCTGCAATTCCCATGTGTCCTATGTGCTCCTTTATGTGCCTACACAGTACCTTACTAAATGGTGGCTGTGGATGCTAACTAGGCAGGTGGCCATATATTCTGAGGGCAAAGCTGATTTCCTGTAACCAGTATCTTCCTGGTAAACTGTCAACATCAGGCCACCCCGTCACTCTAGTGGACCTTGAAACCTCAGAAAAATAAGGGCCCCTTCAGTAGGGATCTCATGGGAATTAGTTCAGGGAACTCTAGGATTTAACACATAGGTGACAGCCTTCTCTGTATCACTTTTTTTTTAATTTTTTTTTTCAACATTTATTTTTGGGACAGAGAGAGACAGAGCATGAACGGGGGAGGGGCAGAGGGAGACACAGAATCGGAAACAGGCTCCAGGCTCTGAGCCATCAGCCCAGAGCCTGACGCGGGGCTCGAACTCACAGACCGCGAGATTGTGACCTGGCTGAAGTCGGACGCTTAACCGACTGCACCACCCAGGCGCCCCTGTATCACTTATAATAAACATCTCATTCTCCATGGCACGAGATAGAACAACAACAAAAGGCAAATATAAGTTGTGTGTGAATTTTTGTAAGTGAACTTGGATTTTAATAGCTCTTTGCTGATACCAATATCTAATAGCTTTTGGAAAAATTTGTCAAAAGTTACTGGAGCTGTATGGTGAAGAAGCCATCGTCACTTATATTTTGGCGAAGGGGGGTGGTCGGTGTGCTCAGTGAAACAACCGAAAGTACCTTGCTGGTCCCACCAAGTAGCTGGGCTGTGGGAGGAAGGAGCTGAACCTTGGCCAACCCCAGTTAACCCCACTTCTTGGGTTGTGTTGCAGGGATCATGTACCGCAAGTCGTGTGCCTCCTCAGCAGCCTGCCTCATCGCCTCCGCTGGGTACCAATCCTTCTGCTCCCCTGGGAAACTGAACTCAGTGTGCATCAGCTGCTGCAACACCCCACTTTGCAATGGGCCCCGGCCCAAGAAACGGAGCAGTTCTGCCTTGGCCCTGCGGCCGGGGCTCCCCACCACCATCCTGCTCCTGAAACTCGCCCTCCTCTTGGCTCACTGCTGAAGTTGGAGATGCTCATCCCTCCTGCATTGTCCTTCAGGCCCTTGTTCCCCCTGCTCCCCAAGATTCTCCTGGGTGTCCTTTTTTTGTGGGTTGGGAGGGAGCGTATTCTCTTTCTTTCAGTTCCTTTGCAAATCAAAGAGCTCGGTGTCAGTTTTTGTAAGCTCTGAATAAATTCAGTCTGACTTTTCAGTGTGTACTTGAAGGGAAGAGGGGAGTCCAAGTCTGTCCCCTATTACCAGAGGCAAGGTCGGGCTGGCAGAATCAGTCCCTAGAAGACACTTAGGGAGGCATCCATTTTTTCCAAGGCCCCTCGCTTCCACTCCTGTCCCTCATAGGGGCATGGTTTATTTTGTCACTGCGTGTGTCAGATCATGTTGCTTTCATTGGGGGCGCCGGTTAGTCCTCAAGGCTTCCATAGTTGACATTCACACTTCATGTTCCTGAAAACCATTCCCTGCGGCGGAGTTGGGTGGTTTCATCTGCACGTTGGGTTCTGCTGCCTCAAGACTCAATTGCTGGGGCTTGGAGTCTGGCTCGCCCCCGTTCTGGAAAGTGCTCAAGTAAACCTTGTTAGTTCTTGCAGAGGAACTGCACCGGGAAGCGGTGAAGATGAGGGGGCGACGCGCGGAGCGAGTGCTGTCCGCAGCAGAGGTGACGCGGGCACGCAGGTGTTTGCTGTGGTTGGCGTGCGGCAGCGTCAGGCGGCAGCGGAGCACCTGCCCGAACACCCTGCGGAACTGCTGCGAGGACACGTTGTACAGGAGCGGGTTGATGACCGAGCTCAGGTAGAAGAAGGTGTCGGAGAAGGGGAGGAGGATCATGTACGCCCGGAAGTAGGACTTTGTCCAGTCGTGCTTGGGTTTGGCTGCGGCCATAATCCTCCGCACCTGGTTAGGCATCCAGCAGACAGCCAAGGTCACAACAATCAGCCCTGAGCAGGCAAAAGGAGAGACCGACACAAACAGCATGAGAACAACAATCAAAGCCACAAAATATTTAGCTCCCCAGCTCTGTGCTTACTGGCCAGGAAATGCTACCAATTTTTCAGTGTTGTGCTCGACTGCTTCTTTTGCCACTAGCAAAAAAGAATCGAACAGTGTGTTTCAAGGCTGGGGGAGTGGACTGTGTTAAAGACCATTAAATGCTTTCGACTATTTATGCATACCTTTTGATGGCTGTTCATTTAAAAAAAAAAAAAGTTTTCATTGTTGTGTATCCAGAAAGCATTTTATATAGTCCAGTAAAATCTGTCCTTTTGTTTTAAGGAAATAGATGTATACCCTATGTCATATCAGGTGAAACAATATTTGTATTTCAAAGCATGTCTACATAAAGACAACCCAGTGATATTTTCAAGACAAATGGAAACGGTGTCCCTTGTAACAAAGAAGCGTATTTAGTGACACAGATTTTACATTCAATTTCAAGGGACACAAAACCGGGAATAGCCTGTCACTGAGAATGGTTTTTGAACATGTCTACTCCGTGCAGTGTGCACACCTGTAATTCTCATGCTATCTGCAACAGCACTCTGTTTTTACAAATTTTTAGTTATATCGTCTATTCACCCTCATGGGGGAAAAAGACAATTACCCACAGACAACAGATCTAAAACCCCCTTAAAGTTTAGCCAGTAGTGTGCTCATTGCCTGTGGCACTGAACTACAGTAAATGATCATGCCCAAAGGGACACCACTTGGTGACCCCATGAGATCAAAAGTTGACTGAATGGACATGCTTGCATGTCCACAAGTTTGCTTTCCAACTTACACCATCTCTATTTCTATGACCTCTGACAGAGCAAAGGAGCATTTATCTACAGTGACAGACAAAACATCCAAGAAAAGGAAGATCAGGAATCTGCACAACATTTGCTCTTTGCTCTGAAGCCAACACACCAGAAAGTAAGTTCCTCTGTGGAAAGCCAGGATCTTAAAGCTGTATTTTGGATTGTCAGAAATACTTCCTCCGTTTCCTAAATTTGATTACTATAATAAGGAAAATTCATTCATGTTTTGAACTTTTGTATTTTCTAGGAAACCACAAGGAAGCGATGGTTGGCAATAATCCCTTTCTGCCTCTGATCCATAGTAAATATTTCATTGATAAATGCTCCAGGAAAACCAGCCATGTCTATGCAACCAGGGTTCGCCCTCCCACACACTCACCTGAGCATGCCCTACCTGATAGCTGAGCAGCCCTAGGTATGTTCTCTGCCCCAGAAATAACCCAGTTCCCTGAACAAATCCTCCAGAAATCCCAGCTGTCAGCAAAGAAGGTTCTGGAAACTCTGCTCCCCTGATCATTTCTAAGCGTTTCTCTTGTCAACCCTCAGCCCAAGCTGGAAACACAAACTTACTTATCTCTTTCCTTTGTGTTTGCTTCCCTGAGAACATAAGTCTAAAAATACAATGAGCAAAGTAACGTATTGATCTGATGAAAAAGCAAAAAAAAAAAAAAAAAAAAAAAAAAAAAAAAAAAAAAAAAAAAAAAAAAAATCACCTTAAGTCAAGAGTATATTCTGAATCAGCTAGTTACAGCTGCTGGAAGGGAACAAAAATCACTATTTTTCTGTGTTTAAATACTTGCACAAGAAAGCGGGGGCTTTTTTCCTCCCACTGCTTTGAGAAGCAAGGATGCTTCCAGACGTGTACTTTTCGAAGTGGGTTCATAAGTTACTTCTTGTTTTTAGCAGAAGCAGTTCTGACTGAAAGGTTCATCTCATTAACTGAAGCAGCTGGGAAGCTTCCCCTACCTAGGGAAGCTATATGTCTTCACAAAGGTTTAAGTTCTTTTCTCTGCCACTGCATTTCAGATCAGTACAACCCTCTTAATCTGAAGACGTATTTCCCAGAATATGGAAATAGAGCATAGGATTTTAGGTGTGTCTTATGATCCCCTGTGGGAGGCCATACTTCAGGCAGCAAGAATCTAGCAAGGGGACAAGAACCCACTTGTACTTACTCTGGTTGAACACAGCATCACTTTTCAAGCCCAGGGAAGAAAGGCAGTGAGGAAAGGGGCCAGGGGTGTGGGGCAAGTTACACAGTCGTTATTTTTGTGTCCTTTCTTTGTCCCTCTCCTATGTGCGTGACCCTTATGCTGGTTACCTTCACCCCCTACACCCGGCATCAGTTGTCCTTGACTGATCTTCCTGTCTAAAGAAGCAGAGTGCAGTAAAAAGCAAGACCAGATATCTTGGGTGTGAGGAAAGGCAGAAGACCAGATGAAGAGTTGTGGCTTGATTTGTCGTTTTAGCCAGGATAAAATTTTTGCTCTGAAATCGAAATGAGCTCGTCCATAAGTGGGAGGTAACTTATTCTAAACAAGTTGCTGAAAATAGGGAACCAGACCCAAGATTCTCCAGTGATGAGGAAAGGGGAAATCTCTGCTTTCTGGGTGTAGAGTAGCAAGGTAGGATAGCAAATATGAACTTGGAGAACAAGAGAGGAGAAATTGAGTTAGAAATCCACAGAGGTTAACAATTAAGCATCAGAAAGGTCTTGACACATAACCAGGAATGTATTGAGTGTTCCCTCTGCCAGGTTCTGTGCTAAGCACTCTGTGTTTATTTCCTATGTGTTTCTTACTTCTGATAATAACCTGGTGAGATCAAAGCTGTCATTATCTTCATTGTACAGGGGAAGAAGTTGTGTCTCAGGTTAGTTGCCCACATCCTATAGCTAGGACACAGGCTAGGCTCCAAAAGCCATTATACATCTGTGTTTTTTTTTTGAACGACACAGTATTGTTTCTTTTTTCCATTTGAAAAATACAGAAAATGCAGGCAAGTAAATATGAGCCATTATTCCACCCTGTAAAATGGATGTAAAACAGCACTGACCACTAGAAATACAATGTAAGCTACTGTGGTGGCTTACAACTTAAAATTTTGAGTAGTCACATTCAGAAAGTAGAAAAACAGGGTAAATCTATTTTAATATGTTTCTTAACCCTCCCACCACAACTAGAGGTGGGAAAAAGGGCTGGTGTCTTTTCTCCTTGCTTTGAAAGATAATTTTGTTATAGGAAAATAGAGGATTAGGCATACAGGCACCCACCACAGGTACTTGTGACATGTGCCTCCATGGGCCATGTAATAGAAGTTAGCCTCTGGTTGGAAGCAAGGGGGAACAAACCAGCCCCCTTGTAAAATTTGTCATTTTATAAGGTAATGGCTCACTTTTACATTTGAAAAAAAAAAGTGCATTGAGAGGACATTGAGACTGTCGTGTCCCAGGTAATTTTTATTAAGTTGTGTGCAACTAGTTCAGCTCTAGTCCCAGCTACTCTGAGACAAAGCTTTAAAATCTTACATGCATGCCTTAATAGAGTATATTGAAGATTTGACTAAATTTATGTTTGGCTGCATTCGATTTGGACTTACATTTGGAAAAATCTAGAATGCTTTGGTCTGTATGGTATGTGCAGCCCACAGTTAAAAACAACTTTACTAAGAACTTGAATGAAGATCAGTGAACTGAACCCAGTCATGTTAAGTCGGCAAACTGTTTTAACTATATTATTGATAGATCTGTATTATATTGAAGACAGCCTTGCCCTCTGGGGTAAGAAATACCTTCATAGCTTATCTGTTTTTCCACATAAAGTACTTCCATTTGTCCTCCGTGATCACTACGCTAAAATGACAGGTGCCATTAGACAATGACACAGATTTACTCTCGGCAAAGTAATGTTGTTTAAAAAACAGAAGTAATAGAGATGGCCAACAACATGTCATACTAGCATTTGAGTCAGGCTGCATGGTTTCATCTGTGGAAAACGTGAAGCTATGCCACCTGGGATGTGGCAACATTCTTAACATCTGACTCTGGGCTCTGTTTTCTTCCTTCTAAACCTTTCCAGTGCAGGAAGCTGTTCCTGTGATCCTGAGTTCACCTTAGAGTCATCGGAGAATGGGAGAGCAGGTCTCCCAAGGAAACTAGGCCCAGAACCCCTCTGTCTTACAAATGATGGAATTGAGGCTGATTCACCCAAGATCTCCAAAGGCAGAGTGGCACGACTCTCTCTACCTCTTGTCTTATGGCTCAGAACATGGGATTTGACTTTTGATTGACAAACAAGCCTATCATTCTATTTTCTTTATGTTTATTTAATTATTTTGGAGAGAGGGGGAGAGAGAGAGATTCCCAAGCAGGCTCCACTCTGTCAGCATAGAGCCCAG